GCCTCCTCCGGAGCTACTATAGTACTATATTTTCAAAACGGGGTATTCATTTCTCCGCTAGCAGGCGTAGGGAAAACGCTACTTTTCGGCACTCCGCTACTCGGCGGGAGCCTTCACTGTCTGCATGCCATCCAACATGTGCCGTGGGTCGAAACTTTCGGCCCGGGGGTGTATGGGTATTTCCCAACATAGGGGTACCCCTCTCATACCCCAAATAGAATGGTATCCCCGGAGTTGGGGTCCCCAAATAGGGTACCCCTATCGGAAACCCCCACCCTAAACCCTAAACCCTAAAAGTCCTAAACCCTGAACCCCGAACCCCCATATGATTTGCACGGAGGACCTCACAGTGCATGTGCCTCGTGCGGGGAAAAAGTATGCGAAAAGGGGCGAGTGCATGACATTTCGGTTCTGTCAAGGCCTTAGGGTTTAGGGTTTAGGGTTTAGGGTTTAGGGTTTAGGGTTTAGGGTTTAGGGTTTAGGGTTTAGGGTTTAGGGTTTTTCGGGTTTAGGGTTTAGGGTTAATTAATGAGGCTTCAGGGTGCAGAGTTTGAGGGTTAAGGCTTGGGCAGCTTAGGGTTTGTGCTTGGGTTGGCTGTTTTGTTGCTTGAAGGTGGTGGGGTCGGCCTGAGGGTTTAGGGTTTCCCTTCTGTTTTTGCTTGGGTTTATTCTTGTTTCGTTTTTTTTACTTGAGGTTGTGGGGGTTGGCTGGAGGCTTTAGGGTTTCGGATTTCCTTTCTTTTATTTCTGTTTTCATTTTTCCTCTGTTTGTCTCTGTGACATTTAGCATCGCGGACGCATTTCAGCCCCGAATCCTAAACCCGAGCCCTCAGGCTCAAAGTATCCCAAGCAACCTTGTGCAGGATAATCTTTGGGCCGCAAAACTCCCAAGAGATGAGCGATTACAGCTTCAAAGCAACCCTTAACTACTCATTGCTTAAGAACCCCGAAACAAAAACTCGAAAGCATATATTCTTCCTTATTCAGGGGAATACAGGGATATATATTATTAGTATTATTATTCTTCTTATTCTTATTATTCTATTCTATTCTATTCTGTTCTGTTCTGTTCTATTCTGTTCTATTCTATTGTATTGTATTGTATTGTATTTATTCTATTCTATTCTATTCTATTCTATTCTATTCTATTCTAATTCTATTCTATTCTATTCTATTCTATTCTATTCTATTCTATTCTATTCTATTCTATTCTATTCTATTCTATTCTATTCTATTCTATTCTATTCTATTCTATATATATATACAATATCATAGTATATATATATATATATGTATTTATATTCTTGTGGGGTTCCTAAGTAAATGGTAGTAAACCTAAAGAAACTGGGAGCATCTGCCGGAGAGGAGCGTGTCGTCACAGGACATCCCTTTCAGCCGTGGCCTCGGCCCTCCATGTGTCGTTTAGGGTTTAGGGTTTGGGGGTTAGGGTTTAGGGTTTGGGGCTTAGGTTCTTCTTTTGGGTCTTGAGGCTTTAGGATTTAGGGCTGCCAGGGTTTTCAGCGGAGTTTTTTCAGAGTATCAGAAAGGCTCCCTGCATGATCGCACTGCTTTTTGTCGGTTCTCCTGCCACTGCAGCTTGGCTCGTGTCACAATCACAAACCCGAAGCCTGAAAACCCTAAAACCACAAACCCTAAACCCAAACCCCTGAGCCGCCTGAGCCCCTGAGCCCCTGAGCCCCTGAGCCCCTGAGCCCCTGAACCCCTGAACCCCTGAACCCCTGAACCCCTGAACCCTAAAACCAAGCCCCAAACCACAGAGCCAGAGGGGACTGCAGCTTCAGGTCCGATCCCATGCCTACATCGGGCATCCTCGTACCCTTAAAGCAACGGCCTCTGAACCCATTATGTTGGTAGTTACTTGGAGGTTCATGGTACTTCTAACCCAATTATAACGGGACTTACAACCCACTTATAAGCCCTTTAAGTGCCCGAATATGGTTATAATTGGGTTAGTAGTACAGTTATAGTTGGGTTACTAATTCCCATGAACCCCCAAGTACAACTATGATGACACTCCCGTGAGTTTTTTGGTGGGTAGTACTGCCAGGCTTTCCGAAGCAGCTGAAGAACAAGGCCAGTAGCCAGCAGCTATTTTTAGGGTTTAGGGTTTACGGTTTAGGGTTGTTTCGGGCCCTAGATCTATAGGGCTTGAGGGCCTTCAAAGGTTGAAGGTGAAAGGCTTTATGGGTTTTGAATTGAGGGTTTAGGGGGTTGCGGAGTTTGGAAGTTTTACGATGCTCTCTCGCCACACTAATCTCCTTTCGTGTTTTGCTGCGCTCTAGCCATGTGCGCTGAGAGCGGGAACGGGATCGCTATCCCTGAGAATTGAGTGCGAACCATCGTTAAGGGGTGTTTGGGGCTGCCTTCTCACAGGACGCAAACCCTAAACCCTAAACCCTAAAACCTCAACCGGCCCTAAACCCTAAACCCTAAACCCTAAACCCTAAACCCTAAACCCTAAACCCTAAACCCGAAACCCAGTAGAACCCATCCAGTGCATGTCGCCGCCCAAGCTCGCGACACCCCACAACCGGCGTCAAACCTCAAGGGTGAGAGTTGAGGGTTTCAGGGCTTAACATAAGGGCCTAAAAAATAAGCATACGGTTTGGGGGGGGGGGGGCGTTATAGTATATCTATAAAGGGAATACGATTAGTAATTACTCCGACCCCTATATTCGGCTCACGGACGTATGGGTTTTAGGATTGAACGGTTTGAGGGTTGAAGAGTTTGCCAAGAAATCTTTCAAGGCAGGCCTCGCCACCATAATCAAGGAAGCCCTTATGGGAACCCTTAACAACCAGGGAACCCAAAGGTTTAGGGTTTAAGGTTTAGGGTTTAGGGGCTTAGGGTTTAGAATCGGGTAGTTATAGTAGGAATAACTACCTCACACCTCCGAAATTGCAGTAGCTTCTTGCCTTTGTCATAGAGGGTAACATTTTGCATTTTAAGGGTACTTAAGCCTTTATATAAGGAATTGAAATTTGCATGTTTAATACTATCCCAACCATGAACTAGTTGCTTTGGGACTTCTCATGGAGTTTCCTCTATGTTTTTCATGAGCCCTCGGCCCACCCAGGGACGGCGAAAGGCCGAGGTCGCGGCCGAGGCCGCGGACGCGCGCGCGGGCGGGGCCGAGGTGGGGGGCAGATGAAGGTTGAGGATTACTCTGTCACAGTGGGGTAGTTTTTTTCATTTTTAAGGGTACTTAGACTCAATACGGAATAGAAATTTAAATATTCATAATGTTTTCTATCCCAACCATGAACTAGATGAAATCTTGAGGGAACTGAGCTTTGGTTCGTTGCAACCCAGCGCCCGGTGCAGCACAGCAAGTTGAAAAGGCAAGGCAAGGGTGCTCTGAGGGTTTATGGCATAACGGGTTTTCTGGGCATTAAGGCCGCAATTATGTCCCCTCAGGCCCGAGCCATGAAGACCGGAAGTGGAAACCGAAACTACTAAGTCCACAGCCTAGCAGCACGGTGGAGACTAGTTATGCGAAGTCTGCATGAAGTAGAAGGCACCGTGTGTTCACAGGAAATTGACCAGCGACTGTGTGTATGCGCGTTTCAAACCAGCTTCCGTCAGCCTCGTCAAACAGTCATCGCTTTCACGGTACCTAAACCCTAAACCCTATCCTAAACCCTAGCCCCGCTTTCACCGCCCCAGGCGCTGCCATCGACGTGGCAGAGCTGTCACCACCCAGGGCATCTCCTCCCAGGCGGGTCCATGTACCCATATAGTATATATTTGAGTTTATGGTTTAGGATTTAGGGAAGCCCTAAAGCTACTATATGAGAACCCTTTTAAGGCCCAAGTATATACTATATAGGTACATGACCCTTAGGGCTTGTGGATTCAACGAAACCTAGGTGGCCAGTGGGAAACCTAGGTGGCCAGTGGCCCATATATCTTCCTAGAGCTTGGAGTAGTACAGGGTATATACACATATACATATACATGTAGATATACATATACATATACTCATGATCCCAAGTTTTGGGGGCGCATTTGGCACACGGCGCGGTCTGAACTCAAAACCCCGCACGCTAAAACCCTGGGCTGGAAGCAATTGGGGTTGAGGATTTAGGGTTTAGGGTTTAGGGTTTAGGGTTTAGGGCTTCTGAGAGCCCATCTCTGCGTGTCTACTAGCACGCCATTGGCCTCGGTTTCAGTTGTGCACTAGAGGTGTGAGGGTTGAGGATTTAGGGTTTAGGGCTTTTCGGCTCAGCTTTCATTGGGGGTTTCCGAAGTTAGGGGCAGCTTATTGGGGCTCTCAGTATCAGACAATCCTACTATTTGGGGACTTTGTTCGGGGAGTCCCGATATGTTCGTAAATCCCCCAATTGAGGGGCACATGGTGAACATGGGCTGGAACTAAGCCAACGCTGCCGGCTGGCAGTCGCTGCCGGCAGTGACAACTGGCAACTGTAGACAAATATGCAGTTTTGGGTTTAGGCTTTAGGGTTCACGGTTTAGGGTTGAGGGTTAGGGTTTAGGGTTTTAGGGTTTTGGGGTTCAGAGTTCAGGGTTTAGGGACCCTCAACCCGAAGGGTTTGGGGGCGTTGGGTGTTAGACTTCTTGGGGGCTTTAGGGTTATGGCCCACGGACTTGGGGTTGATGGGTTTAGGGTTTAGGGTTTAGGGTTTAGGATTTAGGGTTTAGGATTTAGGGTAGAGGGACGGAGCTCACATGTCCCTTTGCTTTGGCTGCTCTCTTCAGCTTTAGCTATGAGCTCAGAATCAAGTCGAAGTCCTGTGTCATAGTGCGAGAAAGGCATGGACTCATCAATCATCCTCCTCTTTGTAGCCCAGTGGTACCCTTTTTTTTGGTTCTGGGTTCCCTTATAAAGTAGCCAACCAAAAAAAGGTGCCCTTGTTATACTATGGTTACTGGGCTACTGAGTCCTGCAGTGAGTTATTCTAGCAAGTAAGTCCTTGTGCATCACTCACCCTGCATCCGAATACAGAGCATGCCTGCAATGCGGATCTGTCTGTTGTCGCCCCTGGCCGCTGCAATCGGCTATGTTGTGATTCGAGTCCTCGTCCGGCGCCGGAGCCCGCGAGCGCAGCTGTCCGACCTGCAGGCAGCTGCCACTGCATTGGCACGCAAGCAACGCATCTCGGTGATTGGATGCTCCTGCACTGGTAAATCGACCCTTGCCTCCATGCTCGCCAAGATCAAGGGCGTGCAGTACATTGACATGGACCGTTTGGCATGGCTGCCTGGCTGGCAGCTGCGCGACCACAAGGAGCGCGATGAGATGCTGTCCAAGGAGCTTCAGCAGGCCAAGGCACCCAGGGAGCAAGAACATGACAAGGGAAGGCTTTGTGCTTAGTGGGAGGGTTGGCAACCTCTCACATTTTGGGTCATTGTTTTGCCTATGTAGTCCCAAAGGCTAGCCTTTATTTCCCTAGGATACTGAACAGCTAAGTGCGCGAATGTGTTTTGCCTAGGCCCCGGGTAGGCGCGCGGTGGATTCACAGCTGATGGCCACTACGGCCTGAAAGCCAAGAAAAGGCTTGTGCGGGAGTGGGAGGATATCGAGGTGATCGTGTGGCTGGACCTCGACTTCTGGATAGTGCTGGGCCGTGCTTTCTGGCGCACTGCCTACCGCATCATCTACCGCGTCGAGTGCTGCAACGGGAACTACGAGCAGCCAGTCAGACTACTGGGTCTGACCAAGGACTCTGTCATCCACTGTGTGCTCACAATGCATCATCTGATGGAAGAAAAGGTCATGCGCCTCCGGCAAGAATATCCGCAGCAGCTCCTCGTGCGGCTCCGCTGCCCGAAGGACGTGGACCTCCTGTGGCACCTCGTGGAGCAGGAGATGTTGAAGGGAGCCCCGGACAGACCTCCATGAGGGACGGGGCCCGCAAAGTGGAAGCCAACTGGGCGAATCAGGCTACTTGTGCAGAACACCAAGGACTTGTCCAGAGGTCATCCATGGCCGTGGCTTGCAAAACAGGCTTCGAAGAAAGTGCCACCCCATGCAACACCTATGTCTCGTTTTTTTTACAGATGCCCTTCTAGGAAGGGCCGGTTTAGTGCCCATCCCTTGGGGATGAATGAAGTAGATGAACCGAACCATTTCGGATCACATCATATTGCCCAAAACTACAAGTCCCTGTACATACTCCGGCTACAAGCCCTTGTAGGGTTCAATCAGCTCCCATGCCGGCTTTTGCACACACTCAAAACGCTCACCAAAAGACCATAACATTAATTCAACGAGGCCAACGCCTCGGCAAGGGTACCGAGGCTAAATGCTGGTAGGGTCGGGGGGTAGGGTGGGGGAGAGGGAGGGGTCGGGGGAGAGGGAGGGGTCGGCTAATTAGGCCCAGACCTGGATCTAAACGCCCCAGGCCGCTGGCCTCGGCGGATACTTTCTTCGCTCAGTTACACAGAATGCGTGAACGAAACCCTAAACCCTAAACCCTAAATCCAAACCCTAAATCTAATTATTCGAAGCGGGCTTTGAGGATGGACTCCTGGGCAATTAAGATTGATGGTGTACGAACCGAAAAGTAAAAGGTTAACCGCTCTCTCGCCAAAATCCCGGGCAATATTACTACTGTTAGTGGCTTTTGGGGTAAAGGACGCACGCTTTCAAGCCCTTTATAGTGCTAACATTGGGGGTCTTGTCCTTAACCGTACTATTCTTCACGCGGCGTGCATTCCATTGAGGTGCGCAGCGTCTTTGTCCTCGGGTAAGTTGTGTGCCCGTGGCATAGAGGCCCCTTAGAGGCCCCTTTGCTTTGCTCTGTCTTGAAGCAGCAAAAAGCCCTAGCCCCTAAATAAGCCCCTAAACCCTAAACCCTAAACCCTAAACCCTAAACCCTAAACCCTAAAACCTAAACCCTCGAAATCGTGACCTGCCACTCCCTTCCCGCCAGGAAGCGGCGTGCCGAGATACCAACAGATCATCCAGGGGAGGCACCGTAGGGCTTATAGGATGCTGCGGTTGGTTTAGGGTTTAGGGTTTAGGGTTTAGGGTTTAGGGTTTAGGGTTTAGGGTTTAGGGTTTAGGGTTTAGCGTTTAGGGTTTAGGGATGTTGGGGTTTCGGGTTAAGTCCAGGGTTCACTTGGGCTCTTCAGGCTTTAGAGCTAAATCTGTAGCTTAGGGTTAAGCTCTGGGTGAACTTAGGTTCTGCAAGTTTTGGCATTTGGGCGCTTTCGGGCGAAGGGTTGGAGGATATCTATGCCTGTCCACAGCATCGTGCACCGTACAGAAAATGGACTCTGGCTTCAAAGTTCAGGTTTCGGTGATGATCAGGTGTAGAGTCTAGCCAAGCATTCAGGCTTGGGCAGATCCGCGCGTTTGCTTTTTCTATTTTTTAGAAAACAAAAGGTTTATAGCGAAATCCCGGAGCCCTAAACCGTCTTGCAGTTCCCCGGTCTGCCTTGGAGAGGATGGCAACGTGCCTGCTCTTGAGAACAAGTACTGGGGGTCGAAAGAGTTACTAATCATATCCCTTATAGTCCCTCTAGATTTCTACGATACTCACCACTCAAAACCCTATAATTTCTAATCACATTCCCTTATGGTCCCTCTAGATTTATACTCCTATGTTACGCTAAGCTAAGCCCTGGGAAAGGGTTTATCCCCCCAAAGGGTTTTCAAGGCACCAGGTAGAGCTAGTAGTGGCAGGGTCCGGGTGTGAAGAAATTGGGGTTTAGCGAGGGTTTAGGGTTAGACTCAGAAAAGCGTGACAAGATCTTCAACAACCCCCAAACCCCAAATCCTAACCCGAAGCCCTAGGGCACCAGCGCTGGCACTCAAAGTGTATGAGGGTTCTAGGGGCTGGGAACGCGGTCGGAGGCCTGAGACTAGCTCCTGGTTGATTGAACCCACCCCTGTCGGTTGGATCCAGATAAGGCTTCTGAATATCAGGGTTTAGGGTTTCGGGGTTTGGCGTTTAGGGTTTAGGGTTTAGGGTTAAGGTTCTGGGCATCAAGAAGCCCTGAATCTCCACGCCCTAATCTCTCAATGCCCAGACTCTGAATGCTCACCCCCTACCTGACGAAGCCCTACACAAATCCTGAAACCCTATGTCGCCTAGTCCTAATCCAAATTCCTGAACACCCTACACCCTAAACCCTAATTAAGCCCTGCGCACTACACCCCAAGCCCTAAGCCCTACACCCTAAGCCCTAAACCTAAACCCTACACCCTAAGCCCAAATCCTAAACCCTAAATGCCTAAACCCTAACCCCCCCCCCCCCCCCCCCCCCCTGCCTGCAGATCCTTGCCAAGCCGACGCCAGCGATGGATGCCGAAGCCCTGCCGCCTGTTGCAGCGAGGCCCTACTTGCCGAAGTAGGCGGCACAGCCCTAAACCCTAAACCCTGAACCCTAAACCCTAAACCATACACCCTCAACCCTAAACCCTGAACCCTAAACCCTAACCCTAAATAGAGAATGTAGCGCTCCTCCCCCCCTCCTGCGAACACCTGAAAGGGCCCCCCTACTTTCGGAAACTCCTGACATAGCTACACTCACCTTGGACCTGTTTAGGAGTCATGCTTACCCTGAAATGGGATTTAGGGTTAAGGGTTTTGGGTTTGGGTTTAGGGTTTAGGGTTTAGGGTTTAGGGTTTAGGGTTTAGGGTTAGGAGGGTACTAAACCCTACACCCCAATTAGTACTTCTAGAATCGGTTCAGGGCTTGGGGAACCGCGTGCCAGCGTTTTAGGGTTTAAAGGTTTGGGGCTCAGGGCTTAGGGTTTAGGGTTTAGGGCTTAGGGCTTAGGGCTTAGGGTTTAGGGTTTAGGGTTTAGGGTTGTGGGTGGGGCGAGCCTTCTGTCCGGAATCAGGTCCAACGCTTCACGCCCTATGTGGCATGGGCAGCTCTCTTCATTGTAGTTCCTTTCTGGCTTCTCGTATTGCAATGCAGGGTTTAGGGTTTAGGTTTTAGGGTTCAGGGTTTAGGGTTTAGGAAACCCGAAAAGAAACTTCACTTGCCCGAATTTAAGGACGACTCCCCAGCCCCACCAACCCTAAACCCTAAACCCTGGTACAGTGAGAACTGGTTGATAAGTACCATGAACCTCCAAGTACACCAGGCAGACACCCTAAACCCTAAACCCTAAGAACCCTAGAAGCCCTAAACTGCCAGCCTGGGAGGCAGCCAGAGACCCGGTTCCTCTCGCGCGCGCCTCGGAAGGTGGAGACGCAGGCTTCGAGGACCAGGGGCGTGCGCCTAAACTAGCCCCTACTGGTAGCCCAAACCCTAAACCCTGAGCCCTAAACCCTAAACCCTAGCCCTAAACCCTAGCCCTAAACCCTAAACCGTTTCATTAGGGTTTGTGTAGAAAGCCGTATTTTTATCCTAGTGCCGGCGCTCAAATCGTACTCCCCTCAACCCTTAGTTCCAACCTCTCACATCCCATATGGGGTTTAGGGTTTAGGGTTTAGGGTTCAGGGTCTAGGGTTTAGGGATACTCTATGGGGGTTTCCGAAACTAGGGGGTGCCTTATTGGGGGACTGATTCATAAGGGAAGCCCCTGAATCCCCTTTAGGCCCTTTAAACCCTACTTCAGACTTCCCTAAACCGTAAACCCTAAACCCGCTAGGCTCTTGAAACTCCGCGCTATATGGGGGTTTGCTCCAAATCAGGGCCCCTTTAAGGTTGCAAGAGATTGCAAAGTTTCTATGAGGGGAACCCGAATAGCACCAAACCCTCAACCCCAAGCTCTAAACCCCTGAACCCTAAACCCCTGAATCCTAAACCCTAAACCCTAAACCCTAAACCCTAAACACTAAACCCTAAACCCTAAACAAGGCCCCGGGGCCTGGGTGCCCAGCTCGACTGTCTGCTCTTCAATGACGACTCCCAGGCTCGCACAAAAGGAATGTTACATGGGCCTTTAATATGGTCCCTAAACCCTAAATCCTAAACCCTAAACCCTAAACCCTAAACCCTAAACCCTAAACCCTAAACCCTAAACCCTAAACCCTAGACCCTAGACCCTAGACCCTAGACCCTAAACCCTAAACCCTAAACCCTAAACCCGTTCCTTCTTTACAGGGTTCTGATGTATAGGCCCTTAACTTGTGTAGGGTATATAAGGGGTATGTAAGGGGTCCCCGTTTAAGGGGCCACATTCAGGGCCCATAAAACTACCCTGAAATGGGGTTTAGGGTTTAGAGTGAGGGTTAAACCCCTCTACATCACCCTAAGCCCTTTAACCCTAAACCTGAACCCTCTGAACCCCAAACCCCATAAACCCTATAAATCCTTGAAAAACACTATACTCTATCAACCCTACAAGGCCCTGTAAGCCCTATCAACCCTAGAAACCCCATGAACCGCATGAACACTGCCTATGAATCCACCTATACCTCAAGCAGGTACTCAAAGCCGTTTCTAACCAAGCCTAAACCCTAAACCCTAACCCCTAAACCCTAAACCCTAAACCCTAAACTTTAAACCCTAAACCCTAAACCCTAAACCCTAAACCCTCATCTTTCAGCCGAAGCCCCAAAACCGTGAAGCTCTCTCGGGCTTACTTTATCGGACTGTAAGCCTTAAAGCCCGATATTTTCAAGCCTAACCTCCTTGCGGAACACCTCTCTACCCGGGGTTTCTAACCCTAAGCCCTACATCCCGAAACACTATAACCCTGAAGCGTTTTCGGGCTTACTTCATCGGAGCGAAAACCTTTAAACCCGACATTTTAAAGCCTAAGCTGCTTGCGGATTGCTTGCCTCGATGCCCATCGCTTGGGGTTTGGGTTTCGGGTTTGACATCAGGCGTCTAGGATTAGGGTGTGGAGTTTAGGTTCAAGGCTTGTAGGATTGAGAGCTTCTAGGGCCCAATTTAGGCCCTCCTTCCCTTTCTTTGGGTTGAGGTTCCCCATCA